GCGCCGGGTCCCGCAGGCCTCGCCGGGCCGCAGAGCAGCGGGGCGGGGGACAGCGCTGTCCCAGCACCGCGGGAAGGACTGGCCGAGGCAGCGTGGAGGTCACAGGCAGCTTTATTGAGGACTGCAGGGCGGCCCCAGGGCCTGGCACAGCAGGAGGCTCCCCCAGCGCCGCTGCAGCTTGTCTCCCACCCATCCCCAGAGGCGCAGGCACTCTGCCAGCATCAGCTGTGTAGTGCCCGGGGAGCTGCACCTTCCAGCCCTCAGGACAGGCATCTTCAGCGCGGTGACAGCAGCCCCAGCTCAGGTGCGTTTAGGACAATGCGCTTCCCAGGGGCTCTGAGAGTGTGGCATGCACAGTGAGGCTGCGGCCAACGCTGCCACGAAGGAATGAAACCTCTCCATTGGTGACTGCCTAGCCAGGGTCCTCTCTGTTTCTTTGTGCTTGTCCCAGGTCCTGCACACACATCGGGGCTTCTCTGGCCAGCAAAAGATACCAAACTGAGGCTTTCCTGAGCCAGCTGCTGTGGCTGGGGCAGCACCAGTCACATCCTACCGGAGCAGAGGGGAATCCACACCATTCAGCTGGCTCTACATGCCATGTCTGAGAGCATAGGAGGTGCCATGGCGGGGTGCCCAGCATGCCCTGAGCAGTGTGTGCCTTGCTGCAGCCTCTGCAGCGTGTGCCAGCAGAGTGGATGGACAAGTCCTGAGCAGGTTCTCATTCCGGAGGTGTGCAAGCCCTTGACGCAGGGGCACATGTGCTTTCCTCCAACAGCAAGGGGACTGCAGGAGGGTCAGGGGGTGCAAGGAGCCCATGGAAGCCCAGGAGGCAGGAAGAGGGTAAGCGACTGATTAGTGAAAAACTGTGTGGGAAGCCCATCTGAGCGTGGCAGTCTGAGGCTCAGGGCCCAGCAGAACCTTTGTGAGGAGTCTAGGGACTAGGGGGGTTGGCCATGGCTTAGAGACCTGCAGCTCAATCCCATCTGGCACTTCGCAGTTTTTACTTCTTCCTGTTCATGATCTGGCTGGAAATCCAGTTCATCCCATCCTGGAGGGAAGAGAGATAATGTGAGCACAGCTCCAAGAGCATGGCAGGTCCTTGGGTCCTCTCCCACCTCTGCAGAGCCTGCAGGCCCCCGTCTTTACCTGCACTCCTTCCCCAGACAAGGCTGAACAGGCCTGGATCTGCCATTCCCGGTCCCGGTAGGTGTGGAGGCTCAGCCCTTCTGCAATTTCAGCTGCAGGTGCTGCAGTCAGTAGGTCCTGCTTGTTGGCAAACACCAACAGCGGGACCCCCATGAGAGACTCCTCCTCGGTGAGCTCTGCCAGCTCCTGCCAAGAGACAACCATCTCCCATCGCTGGCTGCTGCCCTCCTCCACAGAGCTGCCCATGGCAGGCTGGGGCACCTCAGTCCCCCAAAGTGTCTCACTCCCCTCTCTCTGGTGCTCTTACTGTGGATAAAGAATCTGTGAGGTCATGACATCCTCAGGGAGAGACATGCACCCCTGAAGCTCCATCTGCCTGAGATGCTGGGAGAGGGAGAACTTGGGAGCCACATGCAATACTACCTGAGGGCTGAAGCACTCCTGGCACCAAGAGCCTTGGGCAAAGGGCAGCTACAGGAGGCTGCTGTCAGCCCCGTGATGTCTGGCACACCCATGCTGCCGTCTGGTGCTGGTATAGCTGAGACTGGCACTTGGAGTCTCATCTTATCTTCTCCAGCTTCATTCCCAGGGTTTGTAACTCTGAATTTGCTACTCATAAACCTTTGCTGGGGCATATCACTAACCTGGCACTGGGGAGGTGGGAGGAGGGCCAGCGATCGAGGGATCACTGTCATGAGGGGCAGAGTCAAGTCTGTGTTGGGTACCCCTGGGGCACCACACGGAGCTGCTGGGCATGGATCTGCCATAGAATGGGGAGACTGTGTGCCACGACTCTGATCATGAGCCCTTCTCACATAGCTCTGGGGGCAGCTTGGACCCCACAGCAGTGCTGGTGCATGGTCTTTCTCCCTGCTCCAGTCTCAAAGAGCTAGTGCCAGATGGGTCTGAGCCCCAGGACCCCACACCCACTCCCCACCAGACCCCTCATACCTGTCCTGTCTCCTCAAAACGCTTCTGGTCTGCACTGTCAATGACATAAATCTGCCATGGGGAAAAAAGGGACAGTCAGCGGCTCCTCTTCTTCAGCTGCACAGCCCTCTGCCTTCTGCAGGGGCTGCATGCCTCTGCTGGGGTACAGGGCCCTGTACAGAGGGCACAGCTGTCCTCACACGGGGCTAGGGGGGAGCTGCACGTGGCTGCCCCACTCACCAGCAGGTCTGTGCTGCCCAGATACTTCCTCCAGTAAGGGCGGATGGAGCGCTGCCCCCCAATATCCCACACATTTAGCTTGAAGCCGTGTGAGTGGATGCTCTTTATGTTGAAGCCCTGTGTGGGGACATGAACCCCAGCATCACCCAAGGGGAGGGTAGGACCTGCAACCCTCCCACTGCCCATGGCCCCCAGCAGCACCTACCTGGGTGGGGGTGATGGTGCTGACCTCCTCGGACGCCAGGTGTTTCAGCAGCGTGGTCTTCCCTGCATTGTCCAGCCCCAGCAGGACAATGCGGAGCTCTCGCTCCGGGGAACCCTTCATCCTCTGGATGGCGGAGAGCAGCCCCTGCGAGTGTGGAGTGCTGGGGGAGTCCTGTGCAGAGCACTCTCATTTCAGAGGGCGGAGCTGGGTGCTCTGTTGGCCATGGGGACCCTGTGTCTATGGCTTGAGTGAGCTCCAGGCTTCCAAGGTGTCCAGGCTCAGGGTATCCCCACAGCAGATCCACCCAGCCCCAATCCCCCCCTCAGGTGTGCTGTCCCTGCCCTGGGAGCCCCGACATCTCCTGGGCGTGCTGGGGACACATGCTCAGGGTAAAGCCCTGATCCTGCTCTGCCAGCCCACCCAGGACCACAGCTGGGAGCTGGTGCCAGGTGCAGTGGGCTGTCACCGGACCCCGCTTACCTTCTGCACATCACCCATGGTCTGGGAGTCGCTCTGGCCCACAGCACGGCTGGGGAGCTGCCAGGAGCTCATCCCCGGGGCTCGCCAGTGGCTGTGTGACTAGCACACACCCCTTCCTCAGGGGAGGAAGAGGATTATGGGCTCCAGAATTAGCTGCTGTTTCTCCTTTTACCCACAGCATTAAATAATGCCCTCGGCAAATCCCCCAGCCAGCTGTCACCCCACCGTCACCTACCCCCAGGATATACCAGGTCCCAGCAGGCTGGGGCACAGGATGTCCCTCTCCCCATAGGGCCAGGCTCTGGCTCTGGGATGGCAGCACAGCAGGAGGATACAGTACCCAGGCACCACGGGCATCCCTGCTGACAGAGCGTGGTGGTGGGATGGAGCCACGCAGCCAGCGGGTGATCCCAGGAGAGGCACTGCAGGCCCAGCCTCCAAAGGGGGACGTTGCCTTTTGCCCAGGCAGCAAACACAGGCCACAGGCATGGCCGTGTCCTGGTGCACAGGGCTGACACAGCCTCCCGGGCGAGGGGGTGATGCCTCAGCACATCCCCACGTCCCGCCCCGCCCAAGCAGGATGAGGCAACACCAACACCCATGAGCTGCCCCCTCGGAGGGTGGCAGGAGGTAACGCCTGAGGCTGGAGCTGCTCCAGGCCACGTCAGCCACTTTCAGCAGCTCCTTTCTGCTGTCTGAGGGAAACCACTGGGCCCTAGAGCAGGTCGAGGGCTGAGCTGTTGGCAGCTGGAGGTCAAGGATGGCACAGGACAGGGCTCTGGAGGGGCACAGGCACCTTCCCCAGCAGCCCAGCCCAGCCCAGGTGGGGCAAGAGGCTCGTGAGTTTGACATTTGGATTAAATATATTAAGTGATGTCTTTGATTCTTGCATGCTGCAGTTTGGTCCTCGGATCAGGTTTCCTAGCAGAGAGGTTATCCTTGTGGTGAGGACCATGAGTCACGCACTCTTGGTGAGACATTTTTATTTATAACTCCTGTTGCAAAGCCAAGCCAAACGACACAGCTACGCTCTAACAAAGGGAAGGGGAGAAGCACAATCACCCCCATCCCACTGCTGCTCCGTGTCGTGTGGCAGGGGGCAGAGAGGCAGCAGCAGGGGCCACCCTCCATTCCCCCCTGCCCAGAGACCCTGCCAGGGCTGTGGTTGCTAATGCCATGCTGCTTTTGTGCATATTCACAGTGGGAACACTTCATTTTTCTCTGCATAGATCTGCACCCAACTTAATGTTAGGGTTCTGCTTTTGATAGGTTAATCACCCACCTTACGTCCCAGTTATTAGCGTTTCCATGAGTGGGTTGCCATGGTGCTCTGCGGTTTATCCTGTAACTGTTAGTTACTTATATTTCCTAACAAATATCCTAAAATATCCTCAACTGGTTTGTGGTTGCTGATCAACATGGAACCCCGACCTTAGGAGATGGGCAGAACTGCTTAGGCATCAGTTTGGTGACTCGGAGCTGCACGTCCACCGCTCCTCTCTGCCAGGCTCTGCCGGCGTCCACGGCGCAGGCGGCTCTCCCCAAACGCCAGCTCCTAACAGCAGCAGCAGCAGCATGGCCCTGGGGCCACCACGAGCAGCACCAGGCTGGTGGCAGGTTGTGCTGGGCATGTTGATGCCCCCCCCTGCCCCTGCACCCCCCTTCCCTCAGATGATGCAATGCCCGGGAGGAGCCCCCCCGGGCTGCCCGGGCTGCTGGGAGTAGTGGTGATGGGGTGGTGACCCCCGGGCAGCACAGGCCGTGCTGGTGGGGGGGACTGAGGGCGACGGGGACAGGGATGGGGATGTGTCACAGATGGGGATGCAGATGGGGATAGGGATGGGGATGAGGATTGGGATGGGAACAGGGATGCAGATGGGTCACGGATGTGGATGCAGATGGGGACAGGGATGGGGACGGGGACCGGGATGGGGATGCGGC